TAAGGGGGGAGAGGAGGGGAGGTGGATCTCCAATACACGAGGAGGTGGAAAGGAAGTGGCAACTCGCACCCAGGTGGAGCATACACAATCAGTCACTCCTGCGTGCTTCCCCTGCTTGGTGCACAGGGCCACTCTCCAACCTGTTGAGCGGATCCGGCAGCTTGTCAGGGCTCGCAGCAGGGAATTCCCATCAGTTATCCCTGCCTGCCTCTCAGAGCAGCAGTGTGCCTTGTTTCTGGCCAGGTGTCTGAAGAGCCGGTTATAAATAGCAAACCAGTGAGAAGGTGTGATGGGGCTCACAAAGAACTAGAGATAACAGGATCAGAGCATGCCCCTTCATTTCAGACCAACACTGTGATCACTGCACAGGGGGTGGACTGCCATAGGCTGCCTGAGATGCTGAAAGCATGTTGGTTTGTCTGCTAAATGACCTATATTTTTGCCTAGTCCAAGGGACCAGTACCCAATTAAAATGGTGATTATCATGAACTGCTAGGGATGGAAATTAAAGCTCTTTGCCCCTGGGAAGCTGGTCATTTCGTGTCTGTTGCAAAGCATACCAGGTCCTTCTGTCCTCAACTGTTCATAATACAATGGGTTTCCATTAGGCCGTCCCGAACCCAGGGCCAGCTCAGAGGAGGACTCCTATTCCAATAGCCAGGGCTCCAGTCTCGAATTAGAGGGCTAAGGTACTGATTTCCTGTGTAGTCTTGAGCAAGTCATTGAGCTCCTCTAAACTCCAGCTGCAACATGGGGATAATGATGCTGTGGGAACTATGGATGCAGGGCTAAGGAGTCATTACTTGCAACAGGTTTCTTCCTGCACTGTGCGTGCGCACGCAAAGAAAAAGACTTATACACTTGTACCAAAAGGAAGATGCTTGTGGGTATAGCATAGCATCATGCCTTGCGACCCTGGATCCTCCCTGAGTCTGTCTGGCAGCACCCCTGATTCAGTCCCTCCAAAGTGGACCACTGTGGCCATGTCAGGACCAGGAACTTGGGTTTGTTCTCACTGCTGTTTGGGACCTTTCTTTTAGCTTTCCACCAAAGGCTGGAAAGGCTTTTATAGAATGGCTTTTATAGAATGAAAGCCATTCTATATGGCTTTTATAGAATGAATGGCTTTTATAGAATGAATCTACAAAATGAGTGGCTTCTGATACACAGTGACGAGCCACAGTTATGTACTAGCAGCATATATCAGTGTGATCCCGACCTCAGCTGGAGCAGCTATTGCTGCCGAGCTGTCAGCATGATGGGGATGAGGCAGTGTAGGGAGGGAAACCTGCCTAGGATGTGGCCACAGAGGCAGGAGGTGGGATTTGCTGTGTGGATGTGAGTACATTGCAACCTGGAGTCTATGTTAATTCCATCCAAGTTCAGGTATTTCATAGACACTACTATCCAGGGCCAAGTCCCACTTAAAATGGGATTTGGATTCAGATCACATAGCCAGCAGCGTATCGGGGAAAAAAGTAGAAGCGCTCCTGAGAGTAAAGCTTAACCTGTGAAACAACCTTGGACTTGGGAAGCATTAACTACGCCTGCTTTCCATTTGGGGGGGGGGAAGCTGCGGTCGGGAGAATTTAAGGGTATGTTTAGATAAACAAAAAATCTTCAAACAACAGAGTTTGGAGATTTATAGTGAATCCTTTGATTTAGTTGTATCTGTTGCAGGACCAAGATTGATTTGAGCTGTTTTAATCAAACTGTAGCTTGGATTTCAGTGGGTTTTGCTTATATACCAGCAAAACCCCCCCCAAAAATCAACAACCCCTCCCCTTCCAAAAAAAAAAAAATCAGGCTTTTGCTGTTTACTGGCTATACCAGTCTCTAAGAACCACATTTACAGAGGGATATTGGACACAGAATTAGAAGCTGGTGAACCCCA